TGGAAAGTTAACATTTTTTATTTTTTGTTTTCAACTTGCTAAACTATGTAGCGCAAATGTATGAGATTGCCAAAATCATATCTCATCAACTTAATTTTTTCTAGGAATTTTCTATAAAGCTCCTAAGGATTTTGCAACTGTCAAAATAAATATTGAAGCTAAAATTAAATTTTTCCACTCACATATAGTCCGAAGTGTCCTCTACAAAACCAGATCAAGTCGACATCTTAGAAATCCATCATTCCGGAGCTGCGCACGTTTTTCCAGAAGCCTTAGCACTCCTATGCCGTTAGGTTTGAAGCTATCGAAAATGAATGAAAACATAGGTTATTGACTATGCTGAATCTCGGGACAATGCTAGTTTTCAGAACAAAATTCAACAACCGAGTGAAAACCTATACTAGGTGAAACAACCCATTTGTCACTATTTTCATCAAAAACTAAAAATATCATAACTCAATCAAAATCCAAAAAACCTACTTCAGAATGCCACAAATAGTCTATTTTACCCACTCATTCTGATTCTGTGCGTAGAGACATGATGAGTGACGGTGTATCATCATAGAAAACTTTGATAGCAGTTGAAATTTCATCGAAATGCACCACACTTGAGACGGAAATGAGAGACGAATCGCTACCCATTGATTCAGATATTCTTAGTCGGTATCTAATGAAGTTTTCCTTGTTCAATCCTTTATTCTAATCGAACTAAAAATACTCTAACAATAACTAGGAAAATCTCTGTACGAGGGCAACGACTTTCGAGTCAAAAATATGATAATAATTGCAGCTGTTTTGAACTTCATACCTTTATTTGTTGATATTTCGACCTTTACCTGGTCATTTTCAAAAACATAAACAGAATAACTGTACAAATGATGAAGACAACTACTATCTTTCTCTATTCTTACTACGAAATACAATAGAACGAAAAAGAGAAAATTCAAGACTAGACCAATACTAGCTTTATATATCCGCATATATAGAAAAACTAAAAAAACAATGACACATTATCCATGCAGTGATGTGTATGTATTTTTTTTATTTTATTCTTTTATAACTGACTTTTTCTGGTGGTATGAGTCTTCCATCTCTCATTGTTTTCTTTTTCTCTAAACCGTCTGGAAAAACATAAAGAGGAACTGATCGATCTGTTCCATTTAGAACTGGCGCTTCCGATCTAATTAAGAGTGATTCTTTAACTAGTAATCGATATTTATGTTGTTCTGAGAGTATAATTCGAAAATCGGAATTCTTCATTACATGTCCTGTATTTTTATAGTGTTTCGCAATAGCTGATTTTGCCTGCGGTTCTGTAGCGGTGTTAGTTGCATTGACATTTGCCACCGTACTAAAAGAATCTTCTAGATCTTCTTGATCCATTTCACAACAGTTCTCTGAATTTTGCTAGTTTGTGATCGTGTTACGGGTCCTTGTCTAGAGTTGGTCGTAGCAGATCTTTTCGATACTGTTACTTGTTTCGAGATATTTTTTGGTACGAGTTTTGTCTGAGATAAGATAATCTTCTCTTGAGCTTTCAGATGTTCGTCAACCCGTGTTTTTAAATGACGACACGTTCTCCCAATGTAAGTTTCTCCACATTCAGAACATTTAGCTTCATAGATGAGTCCTGATTTTAATAGAATGGGTATAGGATCTTTTGGACTGAAACCTGTTCCAATTTGGTATTAACATCATATATAATTCTGACGGTTTTTTTAGGATAGAGTTTGTTTACTGCCATTACAATTCTTGTTCCATAGATCTGACTGCTTGCACCAAAATATGGAATTCTGAAAACTATCTTCTCAGTTGCAGGAGTGTCAGAGACATTTTTTTTTAGAATTTGTACATCATACATTTTATCCAGTCTACTTCTAATGATTGATTCTACAAAGGGTAATGGATAGCCATTTTTGATTGCTAAATTTCTAATGTAATCAAACTCTTTGTGTAGAGATTGAAATGATGAACAAATCTTAGTAGCACGAAATACCATTGTTGAGATTGCATTATGTTTATAACGTTTTGGTACGAAACTAATCCATTTGGTCAACAGTCCTGAGAAAGTAGGTTCCCGGTATACTTCGGTTTCGAAACCTTGATCACTTCGTGTGATGAGGGTGTCCAAAAAGGGTAATGTTTTATCAGGGGATCCTTGTTCATACGTAAACTTTGTCGATGTATGACAACAATTTAGAATAGTTGGTATATCTTTTATTGCGAATCTCGATTGTAGTCCAATCGAGCGATTGGAGTTTAGCGAAAAGTGTTTGCTGATATACTTCTGGGATACTAAATATAACTGATGATGGTATTGCAGGTTTGTTTTTCGCCGTGCTTTACTCAGGTTGCATCCTTAATACTACTATCCGTTTCAAAATAAATGCAGTTAGTCTTAAGCGATGTAATTCGAGAACGATTCTATGAAAAGTCATGTGGTATCTTTGTTAGAAAAAGAATACTGGGGCAAGTACTTCTGTAAAAACATCTTCCAAACACACGAGGGGTCAGAGCGTTAGCCCAGCAGGGTGAGGTGATGAAGAAGAGAAGAACACACGCCACATCCAGCCTCACGTACACACCCTCACACTCTCATACCCCAACGTAGAAAATAGTTTCATTAGAGAGAGTACATTCAATTACATATGCCATATGGAAACCTTGCTGCTACTTCCATGTAAAATCTGCCTTCCTAGAGCATAAAAAACGATTTTTGAGACAACATGACTTGATCCGACTGATATTTCAGATTTATCGACAAAAAAATGCAATATATACGTTATTCTTATAGATTTTGGCAATGGGGAACAAGTCGATTTCAATATTAGAAATCGCATGGAATCAATAAAATTCATTACCCTTGTACTTATAACAAGTTCCAGAATTTTCGATATTCAATTAGGAAGAACAAGAATATCATAAAGTAGTTGTAGCGATAAAATAAGGGGCGAGATGATAAAACGACAAAGTGGAGAGACTAGCTTGACACCACTCTCCCAAAATATGGGTAGTGAATTATATGAGAAAAATTGCTTTGATGAAGATGTTAAAGAGAGCATTCAAGATATGAAAGCTGTTTTTGATCAAAAACATGGTTATTTCGATACGAATGCTGAACCTTATAGAGGTTTCCTTACTCTTATTCGTCAATCCGCTGTGCAGCACATACTGCATTTGTATGACCATCCAGGAGAACATTCTCCATACGAATGCGCACTTCAGAAAACCTGTGCTATGATGAACGAAAATGAAATCTATGTGGACCAGATGGCAAAGCAGAAATATTTAAGGGATACTAATCAGAAGAAGGCTGTTGAAACGCAGTTTGAGAAAGTACGATCGAATGTTTCTAAAGTATTGGGTAACTTGGCGACGGATATACCAACATGGCTCGAGAAACTGGAAAAGATTACAGGAAACTGAGGGTGAGGGTGTGAGTAAAAATAAATAACTACCATAATCTAGATTTCAATCTTAATCTCATCAGATTGATCTCATCAGACGGTAGATTAATTATTTGCATATAGAAATAAACTTAAATCAAATTAAAAGAAATTCAAAAGAATCTCTTCCAATCTAACTCAAAATCCATTTCAAAAGCAGCAGATAGTCCTTTATTTTTCACTACTGTGAGTAAAAACAAAGAGCTACCATAATCTAGATTTTGATCTTAATAAAAGGTCTTATCGAGTGGTACACATAAATCTGCGCAAAGAATTCAACGATAAAATAAGGGGCGAGATGATAAAATAACAAAGTGGAGAGACTAGCTTGCCACCACCCTCACGAGGGAACCACCCTAGGTGCCCAACTCCGATTTCCTTCATTCATACCTCGTTTTATAGAGCACATCGAGCTGGTAAAAAGCCTAAAAGGATTTTAGCCCATGGCTCCTGAAGTCTCGGTTTTCTGCAAAGCCAGTTTTTGAGAAATTCTAAAAAATAATCAGAACTTTTCATAATGAGGCATAATTATAGCCCACACATTTCTGATTAAAGTGAGACGTCTCCCAGCTCTACACGACCTTTCTTTACAAAGTTATAGAATTTACAAGAAAAGCCCTAAATGTTCATTGTCGGCTCAAAGCTGTAGAAATAAGAAGAAATTAATTTAGGACTTTTCTTGTAAATTCTATAACTTTGTAAAGAAAGGTCGTGTAGAGCTGGGAGACGTCTCACTTTAATCAGAAATGTGTGGGCTATAATTATGCCTCATTATGAAAAGTTCTGATTATTTTTTAGAATTTCTCAAAAACTGGCTTTGCAGAAAACCGAGACTTCAGGAGCCATGGGCTAAAATCCTTTTAGGCTTTTTACCAGCTCGATGTGCTCTATAAAACGAGGTATGAATGAAGAAATCGGAGTTGGGCACCTGGGTCGATTCCCTCGTCAGTAATGATGTTTCTTAGCTACTTTACATATCGAGAGTATAACTTGTGGAGAGTCTTTCAAGTTCTTTCCAGAAGAAATCGATGTTGCTCCGCAAGAACTTTAGGTTTCTTTACGAAGAAGTCCATGTTGCTCGATTTCTTCTGGAAACAATTTGCTGTTCTTGTGGAGAAGCATCAATTTCGGCTGGAAACAACTTGAAGTTCTTATGGAGAAGCATGTCAACAACAAATCAATAAAAAATATTTGCTGAGTTCCGAAGGTTTCTGAAAAATCTTTTGAAAAACCAAAGTATTTTCTGTTGGTTTGTAGAACATTTATTGAGCTTTACGGTCTGCTGTAGATAAAACAGACTATTTGCTGACATTCTGAAGTACGTTGGATGGATTTTGACTGAGTAAGGATGCTTTTAGTTTTTGATAAAAGTAGTGACAATGAGAGTAGTGGATTACCAGAAAAAGATTTCGTGCCTACTATTCCTAAGATGGCCAAGATACTGGAGTTTTCTGAGGAACGCTATAATCCCCGAGGTCATTTTCTTTAAGGGTAGAAATGTTTAAGTGTGGAACACCATCTAACAGATCTCGATGGGGGAAATCTAATGGTGCATATGCATACATGTGTCAGTGTGTGCGACCGAAAAAATGGGTTTTTCAGTAGTAAAAAACGTTTTCGAAGTGTTAGCTAGATCCAGTTTATTACAAAACGGGAAAATTTTATTTATAAATATACTAAAGGTCGAGAAGACCGAGGAAGTTTTGTATTTGAGGATGAACTGTTGTATGCTGTTGTATGATCAACCAGATCATTAAGTTCTTGTGCGCGCACGTCATTGGCCACACTGATTTCTTTTTTGTGTTTTCTTTC